TCAAAGATGATCCTGCACATTTTGGGTATGTTTGGCTCAACTTCCTGCTGTGAAGCAGGATTCCCCACAATAAACAGAATCAAAATAAATATGGATCCAAGCTCAAAATGAGCACCTTGATATGTGCTTTAGAATTGCTTTGTCATTCAAACCCAGGTATAAATCCTTGCAGGGCAGCGTTAAGCCCACTGCTCTTATTAAGCCACAAAAAAGTGAAGAAAAATCAAACAGGCACGTCAGGTGTTTTATAAAATATGTCAATAAGCAAAGTGTCTATATAGCAAACTTAACGATTGTTCTCTATTTGAAATAAAAATATCTTTTTTAAAATGGAAAAATTTTCTTTTTTTTTATTTTTATTTTTATTTTAAATGTCAAGTTATAACATGGATGCATAAACATGGATGCAAAAACCACTATCGTAAGGACTATAAAAGCTACACTAGTAAACCAGAAAGTGCTCAAAAAGATTTTAGGTTGTTTCTGTTCTGACATAATTTCGGTCCAGACGCCTATTAGTGACCCCTGAGCTATATGATGCATCCTCTCTCAGATCTCTATACAATGTTCCCAAACTGATGGTATTTGTAACTCAAGGCCCAAAAAGTAAGAACATTTGTAAATACCTAGAAAGCTAACATCAGGTCACAAGATCATTTTTAATTTTGTTTTATGTTGAATCATTTTCAGACTTCCCTCGATGAAAAGTACCTCCACAGAAAGTACAGATAAAAAACGTGAATCCAGGAAGAGCGGCTTCTTCAACCTCATTAAATCCCGAACGTCCCGATCTGAGAAGAGCCATGGATCTGCCGCCATCACACCACCTCAACCTGGGCAAAGCAACACCAACACTAGCACACATACTTCCACCACCAGCCCGGTGACTGAGGACACCCCACCTACATCTCCAACACTACATGTAAAAACTCCAACAGCTGCAGCTGAGCCTCAAGAAACCCACAGTGCACAGTCGCCGAACCACACAGATCCTGAGTCTGAAGCGCCTCAGACTTTTAGTGAACCTCTAGAGGAGAGAGAAAACCAGAAGATGGAGAATAAGGAGAACCTGGAGAAGACAGGAAGCCCTCCTCAGAAGGAGAATACAGAGAAGAAGGAGAACACACCCATACACCGCCATATAGGGGTTCCTGTGATGGAAAAAGATCTAATGGCTGAGATGAAGGCCAGACAAGAAAAAACAAGGCAAGACAAAATGGCTGAAAAGAAGGTTGGTCAAATCTGCATGTAATATTGAATATAGTTTTAGCAGACATCCCCTGTTATAAACATACACAGGCAGATTTCTGCTGATGGCACAGAGATCAGTACATCAGCAGACGGTGCTACACATTTATTCCACATGGTTACGTAAAAAGTTCATTTTAAATTAGATCAAATGCATGTTTAACTGTTATTTTTTTCAGTCTGATCCCTCACCCGTCGTTGACAGAGTGGACTCGGACAAACGTGAGTGTGTTTTAACACGTGTACTTAATGGAAAACATACATATATATATATATATATATATATATATATATATATATATATTTGATCCCACAGCAATGGATTTAATATTAATTCCACAACAGGTTAAAGAATAAAAGAAGACAAAAAGGGAAAAAAAAAGCTGCGAGCAAAAAAACTCTAATGATTTTTAACAAAACCTAAATAACATGTATGTAATATTTTTTATATAACTCAGCAAAGCCTAGAATGTTTGGTAGTTTCGAACCTTTTTTTATACTCTTGATTTCTTTTTCTGGGTTTTTATATTGACAAGTTTTCCTTTAAATATCAGAATACTCATTTAGAAATAATGTTGGCATCTGATGGTCTCGGTGGATTAGTTTTCTCTTATTTTGTTCGTTAACTCCTGTTTATATCTTAAATATTTTGCCTATATTTTGCAACATATAAATTGACCGCCTGTCATCTCTTCTGAACTCCTGTCGCTTTTCTCTGTCTTCTCCAGAGAAGACGGATGTCCATCCTGCAGTCTCCACAGACCCTGAAGAATGTAAACCTGAGCCCATTCCCAGAGCTAAACCACCGAGCGTTACGCCCAAACCAGCCCCACCCCAGACTGCTAAACCCCCGCTGGTTTCTCGCACATCTGGACCCCTCAGTCCAACCAGCCCCAGGCCATGTAACATCTCTGTTCTAGGTGAGATAGGAAGAATCTAACATTTAAACCTTACAGCCCTATTTTAGATCTATAAACCATGCGTCTTAGAGCACAGGCTGTGAGTACTTTCTGATTTAGTCAGTTTCCAGTTCTGTAGAGAATCTTTGTCTTATTTTACTGGCATTTGTTTGTCTTTCAGATGACACTGTAGAGTCTCCGGCTCTCTGTGTATCTCCAAAAGCACCACTTCCTGCTCCTCGTCTGAAGAGGGCGCCATCAGAGCAAGACAGAGAAAGCACAAGCAGCGGCTCCGCAGGACTCCTGTCTCCACTTGAGGGTCACTATCTCCATATATCCAATAATAACACAATAGTAGTCTCAGTGGAAGCTATAGTTCAATATCTGTAAGGGTTATCATCACAGAATATTTTAGTTAGCTGTAATTAAATCCTAAAAGTCTATTTATAAGGAGAAATAATAAGCTTACAAAACACTGAAAGGAAAAGAGCAGCTAAAAACACAACAGTTAATTTAACAGGTGATCAGATGTTTAATGAAGGCTTTGGAGGCCATGATTGACGCCTCCACATGCCAAACACAGAGGAGCAGAAGCAAAGGTCCGTAAAAGGAAAAAGAAAAACACAGCAGATGCACTCGGCCTCAGGCTGTAACTTGGCATGTCCAGATGTCTGAACGCGCCTGTGAATCTGATGCTCCACTTCTGTAATTAACACTTACAGGAACCCCTCCTCCTCTTTAATCAGAAGTTGTTGTTCTTAATTGTTGTGCAAAAAGATGTGATTTTGAAATCAAAGAGACAAGAAGACATAAGAGAATTCCCTGTTTTCTTGGAGTCTTTGTTGCACCCATAGAAGCTTCTGTCTTTTATACGGGGCTGCTGCATCTAAAGAGAAGTTGAATAAGGTTCATACATTATTAATAATAAATTGGCACCAAAATATTGTGATTAAAATGTATAAGTTTTATGTGGTTTTATAAAAAAAAAATGCAAAAAAAAATTCATTTTTTCTTTATCATCTTTAGATGGATGATTTATAGCAAAGAAAAAAAGTGTATTTAATAGTTGAAATAAATTTAACCCAAGGTTTATCTTGTTCCTCCTTTAGGGGAGTTTCCTGCAGATGGCGACACTTTTGACCAGCCCAGCATCACAGGTACAGATGAGGGCATAAGCGGCCGACAATGGTCGTCCCTCAAGAGCTCATCTAGTCCTCCATCTACCAACGAGGAAGAACGGGAGCGCACCAAGTCCCTCCCTAACTATGGTTTGAGCATTTACACTATTTTCACCCTTTGCATGATTGCCCTGGATACCAAATATCTCAAATTTACAAAATTGCACATATTTCTAATATTAGTCCTTCTCATTCCACTATTGTCTAATGCTAATATAGCAGCAAGAAAAAATTATAATTGTAACGACTTTTGGAACTTTTGTAAGACGCTGTTTTTTCCCCATATATCTGTAGGATCAGACATAATTAAGCCATTAGATATTTTTTATTGAAACGTACTTCAGATTAAAAGAAATCAAACTAGTTTATCAGATAAAACTATGCAGTCTACCTAGCAACTGTGTCTGCTTTCATGAAGCACATATCATTTATTCTGACTACCAAAGGTGTTTTGTATATTTAATGCAAGTTTTTCATAATAAGAACTAATCTATTCTTGATTATTTGTTGTATTTCTCAAGTTTTTCACTCTGATAAGAGTTCCAGCCATGATGCTTGGTGATCGTTATTGTTGAAAAAGAAAAATTATCTTTCTTTGTATCCTCCATTCTTATACATCTTGTCTCTCCTTGTTCTTATTTTTTTTTCTTATTTTTCGCAGTGAGGATGCCATCTCAGACAGACACCGATCTGAGTCCAGCTGACAGCGAGGTTTCTAATTTGAGCTCTGACCTCAAGTCTAACAACAAATCTGAGGACGAGTCCGGTGACGACACTCCTTCAATGTGATCCTTGCAGAATGATGCATCTTTTGAATCTCCTTCCATCGGTGTTCAAGAAAAAAATAAACATTCGGCGTCAGTCGCGTACATGAAAAGATTTCATTTCTGTTCCCTTTTAAAGTTTTACAACCCGTGGAAAAGCATAATATGTTTTCTGAATGCCTTCACTGATGATACTAGCTCTAATAGGGCCATTAAGACCATCTATGAAGGTTTTAGGAGATGAATGCAAATATGTCACACTTGATATTACGAAAAGCTAATTAAACCCAAAGCACTGGAAAATATATCTAAAAGAAACTTTCTATGTACATATGGGTGTAGTTTAAAACTGTTCAGCTTTATTCATTCCTGTAAAACTGACTCATTGTGGTAGAACAAAACAATTAGGAGATATTTGTAAGGTTTTGTCACAGAGATGGTCTAAAATCAATATTTTGTGTTTTCTTATCATTCTAACCTGACTGCTGTTACATAACACTGCCTTCAGCCATCTTTGGCTCTGCATACAAAAAAACTGCAATACTCAAGAATTTATAACTGGGTGTTTATTGGATTTATTTCTAGATATGAGCTTGTCAGATTTGTATTATTTCTTTTACATAAAGTTAATGGAGGTTATGTTGGGACATAGTGGTTTTAATCTCCTGGGTTCTTGAATCTTTTTTGTTCATATTTGGGGCCAAGTCTTTCATTTAGCATCATTATGGATTTTTTTTGTTTGTTTGTTTAGTTCAAAATCATTTATTTTTCTGGTTAGACTGAAATTCTTAAGATTTTTATTTTGGGGGGAAAAGTTCATCAAACTGTATTGTAAAATAAAAAAAATGTTTCAGTGTGTGTCCACGTCCCTGCTGACAAAGTTACACAAATGTTTCCTAATAAAACACAGGGGAGCAGTTGTTTCTGTTTTGTTTTATCAACACTGCTGCTGTATCCTCACAATAAGTTCATCATTATATACTTACGCCCTCATGATGTACTGCTGCACTTACCTATGTATTATACATCTATGTACATATGTGGTAACTTTTGTTCTTTATGTTTAGGTAGTACATATTTTATTATTTTATCAGGAATATTATGTTATCCTGTGAAAATTGTTGATTTAGCTTGGTGATGGTTTTCATTTTACTGGAAGTGTATTATGTTGCATTTGTTCTTCAGTTCCAGTTAAAAATATATTTTTTTGGCCATGTATTTTGTCATATTAGCCTGAAAATGTGACATAAGGCTGTGTTTGTGTGTATGTTCATGTTCCTATCAATAAAATGATTTATTTGTCACACATTCATTCAAAACTCCCCCTCTGTCTGCAGCCTCCATTTTTTCCCTCCTTTTTTCCCTCCCCTCACATATAAAAGGCTGAGCCTCTCTTGTTCCATTTTTTTATGGATGTCGGGATACGTTAGCAGAGAAGAAGATCTGGCTTCAGCTGAATATTTCTCATACCTTTAGATCTGATAAGTGATTCTTTTGTTGAATTTTTTTTTTTAATGAAATTTGCTTTTGGTCTGATCACCAGGACCATGGATAGCGCACTGGACAGACTTGATGCTGCTCGTTTTATTCAGATTTGGCAACATTTCGACAAAGATGGTAAAATATATAAATTTTATATATTTTTTCTTTATTTGAGACCTTGAGATATTAATGAAGCATTTAATACTGTTTGCTCACATATTTTGTCTTGTGTTACTCTAGTTTCTTGGTGTTATGTTAAGGATCCTATTAGAAATGTAATGATTCCAGCAGAAAAAATAAAATGTATATGTACAGTATATATAAGATGCATTAGTTACATGTATGAGACACGAAATATGGGCTAAGAGTCTATCTAAATACATGCCACTGTTTAAATAAAAGATACCTGTTTATGTTTTCTGAAAGAAAAAAAAAGTATATATATATATATATATATATATATATATATATATTATATATATATTTTTTTGTTTGTTTTACAAACCCATTAACAGGGATATCAAAAGGTTTTTTTTTTTTCAGAGTTAAGGAAATTTCATTTTATTATATTTTAAAAATGTGGACATCATACTGTATATATGTTAATTCTCAAAATTTTAATTTTATAAATAAACCATGAATCTCATTTTACTGAGTTTTCTTAATGGTAGATGTATGTGATTAAGTTGTTACTCTGCATCGTGAAATTGACCTCAGCTGTTCAAAAATCAATTTAAACCTAAAGCTTTTTAAGCATTTAAAAAATATCTCATTAAAATTCTGAATTTGTTCATTTGGTCTTTTGAAAAATACATATCAGCTCTTCAATATATTCAAGGCAGAAAATTGAATGACTTTATTGCCTAACATTGGTTTCCTCACATGATATTCTGTCACTCTAAATATTATTTAGATTGAAGTAACAGGAGGGTCTTCCTAATTATTCCATAAACTGTGATATATATTTCATTTATACAAATATTTAACATTTTTACTATTTTCTTTAAATGAAGGACAGAAGAACACTTATTTACTGATATTAAAAATTTGGTGATAAATTCAGTATTTCCTAAGTAGTTATAAAGTGGAAGAAAATGATAAAACTTTCCTCTGATGCTATTTTGTGTTTTACAGACAAAGGATACATAGAAGGAAAAAGGATGGATGATTTTTTCAAGCACATGTTGCAAAAACTTGGAATGAAGGTAAATCATGATAAAAAAAAGTAATATTTATTTTGAAATACCTTCCATTTTCTTTGTCTTAATGTAGTTTTCTACTTCTTTTCAACAAGGTCCCAGTTTCAGCTGATTTGCTGTTTAGCTTTGAAAGTTATTTACACCAGGTTTTTTTTTTTTTTTGTTTTTTTAGACAGATGAAATAACAGAGGTCGAAATGAGAAGAATGAGAGACAGATTTATCTCTACGAATGACTCTTCTGAGGACAGAAATGTGCAGATTGAAGAGGTAAGCCTGGAATCACTAAACTGCTGGTATTTTTTTTTTTTTGATATTTAAGGTGGAATAAAGAAAAAACAGAAAGATGGGGAGTGGTGGTCTAGTGGTCAGGACATAAAGCTTGGATCCAAAGGTTCTGAGGTTGAGCCCCACTCCCACTGACTGATACTCTGGCTCCCTGCGCAAAGACCCTTAACCCCACACTGCTCCCCGGGCGCCATACAATGGCAGCCCATTGCTCCCCTATGGGATGGGTTAAATGCAGAAAGTACATTTTTTTACTCTGCAATTATGACACTGTAATGATAGTTAAAAGGAAAAAAAAAGCTGAAGCTGTATTTTTGTTTTATTCAATGAAGAAATTAAGTCACATGCTCGTCCTGAAGTAAATGTGTCCCAGCCATAAGAGAATATGCCTGTTTTTATTTAAGTTTTTAATAAAAAAAAAAATTCTCCCCAAATCCAAATTGTACTAAATAATTTTAATGATAGGCTGTTCTTCTTGGATAAAACAAGCTGTGTAGACATCAGCTTTATCACACCTTAAATGAAACCATCTACCAGAAGAACTCTCTGTTTCCAGCTGGCTGCTATGATGCTTCCAGAGGAAGAAAACTTCCTGCTGTTGTTCCGCAGAGAGACTCCGCTTGACAACAGCGTGGAGTTCATGAGGGTAAGGATATTTTCAGACTGACATGGACATTAATGGTCAGGTTGTTTACAATCCGACTAAATTCCATAAGATTGAAATGAAGAAAAACATTAAGTGTTGCTTAAGCTAAAAAAAAATACTCATAATTCATTGTAATATTATGTTTAACATAAATTTATTTAATTTTTTTTAAAAAATTTTATAACAGATTTGGAGAAACTATGATGCAGACAGCAGTGGTTACATTTCAGCCAATGAGCTTAAGGTAATTTGTACACATATTTCAGTTTTTAATATAGATATCCATCAGTAGCGCAGCAATATGTGCATGTACATTTGTATATCAAATCAGATGCAGTGCTTAAACACTCTCGCCTCCCCTCAGGGTTTCCTACATGACCTATTCCTCCAGCACAGGAAGTCCATCACACCTCAGAAGCTGGAGGAGTACACCGATACCATGGTGAGAGAACATCATCTTTATCATGACCAGGCTTTTAAAATGTCTTTTTACCTTCCTGTTGCCTTTATTTTGTCTTTTCTCTGACATCAGATGAAGATGTTTGATAAAAACAGGGACGACAGGCTGGATCTGAACGACATGGCCAGGTACCATTGAGTTGAAAACTTTACAAGATCCTCACTACTAACGCCAAATTGCTTGTCTGTTACTGACTCTTCATGTTGTTCACTGAACTGTTGCATGGATGTTTAGACAAAATTATATTCTCACAATTCTAGATTTCAGTAATGAATGAACAGTCATATAACAGCCTACATGTTCCTCATCATACTGGTCACCAGATTTCTCATATATAGCTGAGAGATGGCATCTTATTCTTCAACTAGCGTTTAGAGCAACACAGCAACAGTTGGTCACTCTGGGATAAACAGCACATCTGAGCTGATCTCACACTCTGCTCTTTGAGATACTGGATTTATTCCCTGACATCATGGAGGGTCTGCAACCAAAAAGCCATTTTACCCTGAGCCCAGCTAAATTAAAGTTGCTTAGAGCCGCAAATATTAAATAAAAATAACCTATTATTGTTGATGAATATCTGCTATAGGAAATCTGTTGCCATGTTATTAAACAACAAACAATTAATTTGTATTTTTTAGTTTAACATCAACCCTTTAACATCAAGTTTATCATGTTTGAGCTTTGATTGTTTTTCTTAAAAAAAAAAAATCTTAAATAATTTATACAATCAGACATGCAGTGAACAAAGAATCCATTATAAATTATACAGGAATGTCTAATGTATCATAAATGACACAAATAACTTCACTGCAACCATTAGTTGGTTCCTTTATAACCTCTGAAAGGAGACTGCCTTCAATGAAGAGAAAATGTCTTCTATGTCTGCTTGGAAATGGCAGCAAGGATCAGGTGGATGTAACCCACATATTAATGGCCGTATGCTGATGAAAAAAAAAGTCCTCCTTAAAAATATGGCATATTTAAATGGCAAATGAAATTTCCAGTTTGAATAGATTCAGTGCAAAAAAAAACTTTGTGATGAAGAATTTGCTGATCGGGCATGTATTTGCATACCTTTGTGCTTACTATATACAGTATGAGTGGTGCATTTAAATCAAGAACTAATGGGACCCTAAACTGCTGTAACATTTGCTAATTTTGTGTTACTTCTGCTAAGTGTTAACAAATTTAAAGTTAATTGTTTGATTTCTTTGACATGCTATAATTTGTTGTTGTTTTTTTGTTTGTTTTTTCCCCTTTCTTTCCGGGCTGCTCAGTAGCATAGTGGGTAGCGCTGCAAAGGATCTGGGATCGATTCCCGTCCCAGATTCTTTTTGCATGGAGTTTGCATGTTCTCCCTGAGCATGCGTGGGTTCTCTCTGGGTACTCCAGCTTCCTAACATGACTGTTAGGTTAATTGGCTTCTCTAAAGTCTCCTTAGGTGTGAGTGTGTGTGTGAATGGTTGTTTGTACTGTGTGTGTCTCTGTGTTGCCCTGCGATTGACTGGAGACCTATCCAGACGCCCGCAGACAGTTGGAGATAGGTACCAGCACTATTTGCGACCCCAGCAGGGATAAGTGTGAGATAAAATGGATGGATGGACCTTGATTTTTTCTTTGTTAATAAAGTAACAATGATTTGTATTTTCTCTCTAAATAATGTACCTTATATACTGTGCTTTGAGTCTGTATGACTGATCCTTTTAGTTGACTTTGAGATGACGATTTCTGCATAATACAACAAAAATTTTACATTTTAGATTAAATTCATGTAGATCAATTGGAACTGCTGTTGTATTCTATATTATTTAGTTTCCCATTGGAATCAATTAATTATTTTTTATTTAACTGTATTTTATTTTTTGTCTACATTTTTGATGTTTTTCTGTTTCTGCTTAGAATTTTGGCCCTGAATGAAAACTTCCTACTCAAGTTTAAGACAGATGTGAGTTCAAATTTTAATTTTTACAAAGTTTTACCAGCCACATTTACCTGTGGGTGTTTGGATTTAATGATCATTGTTCTAAACTGATTAAACTTTAAAGTTAATTTCTGTTTTTCATGTCTCAGGCTTGCAGTCTTGATGACAGAAAAAGGGACTTTGAGAAGATATTCGCTCACTATGATGTTGTAAGTTCAGATTTTCAGAGGTTCATGCTTTCTCTTCACTTCTGCTCCTTTATAAGAACTAACTGAACCTGTTTTTTTATGCCTATCATATGTAAGATGAGAGAGTTTTTTCTGCAAAAAGTAAAAATATTGTCTTAGAACATAATAGTTATGTGATGCAGCAGCAACACACTTTATTCAATTAAACAGCACTTGTTCTTGCTATAACTCTCTGTTCCCTTTATAAGCTGCTGGAACCAGAATTTCCGTGAAAGAGTAACCCCAAGGGATAAATAAAGTTGAGTCTAAGTATAAGTCTTGATGCATCAATATGTTCTGTGTGCAGAGTAAGACAGGTGCACTGGAGGGGCCTGAGGTGGATGGGTTTGTCAAGGACATGATGGAGCTGGTAAAGGTAAAACTATTCACACATTTCCAGATTATTAAACTATTTTCTACAGAAACTCATTTTTGTGAATATTCACAATGTTTGCATTGTTGACTTACAGCAAGAAGATCTTAGGGTTAAAATCCACAGAAGGAGTTTTACTGTATAGTTTGTATGTTCTCCATGTGCATGTGTGGGTTTCCTCCAGGTACTCCAGCTTCCTCCTGCTGTCTAAAAACATGCATCTTAGGTTGAATGGCTGCCCAGTGAGACTCACTGTGTCAAGTGTGTCTCTGATGGACTGATGACCTTATCTGAAGCAATTAAGCAGATACGGAAAATTAATGGATCAGTACAGTAGTAATGTTAGTTCTAATAGTTTGTTCTCTGATTTTAAAATCGCAATCATTTAGTTTCATGTTTTGAAAAATGTTAAAAGTTCTTATATGCATATTGATGAAAACAATTGTGTATAACATGAACCTCAGAATGCAAAAACAGAGGGAAAAAGTTCTTTCATTTGAGGTAAAATATTTCACTTAATTTATCTCTTCCAACTTTATGCAAACTGAGTATGGATGGATGGATGGATGGATGGATGGATGGATGGATGGATGGATGGATGGATGGATGGATGGATGGATG